TGATAGGTTCCCGGCCATCTGGGTTTCGTCCCTCCATTGTATCATGTGTAGGTTATACAAATTCGATATAAGATTAAATATATTCAGGTTACATCAAGAAAGATTTCTTTATCAGTCTCTCCCCCCCCCCTTTTCTTCTTCCATTGAAGAAATGACAGATAGACGGATCTGACAATAGCAATCATTCAGATAGTAGCCTCAATGCCTTTGCTGCTTCCCTTTTAACCATACCTTTAAAACCCAAAATGTCACAGTAAAATCAACCAGTTGAAACGGGTAGAGGAAAGATTGAATAAGCATAGCACTTAGACTTATACAGCGCTTTACAGTGCTTTACATCCCTCTCTGAGCTGTTTGCAGAGTCACCATATTGCTTCCCAACCTTGAGCCCGTCAGGATTGAACTCCTGGCAGTTGGCAGAATTAGCCTGCAATGCTGCATTCTAACCACTGTGCACCATGGAAGGAAGGAAGGGCAATAGCAATAGCACTTAGACTTATATACCACTTCACAGTGCTTTTACAGCCCTCTCTAAGTGCTTTACAGAATCAGCCTCTTCCCCCCAACAATCTGGGTCCTCATTTTATCACCTTGGAAGGATGGAAGGCTGAGTCAACCTTGAGCCTGATGAGCCTGAATAAGGTAGTGAGGTTAGGGATAAAGCCAAGTCCTTTAGTTTAAAGCTAAAGTCCTTTTTTAAAACCAAGACCTTTTATTAGATGCCAGTTTTCTTGAAGGGAATAGTAATAAAATCATCAAAATGACCAATATCTTGGGATTTTTCTATGCCAACTATAAAAGCCCCTTAAAAAAATTCTTTATAACCAAACTGGGGTGCTAACATGACACAAAATGTTCTTGTCAGTATGAGGGCAGTGAATAGCTATGACTGAAAGCCATATGACTTGAAGAACTGACAACTACAAGGGACAATCGTTTTCTTCTGTGATGATGATGGGGGTAATAACAATAACTGGGTTTGGGCATCTCTTTCTCTCAGCCAGAGGATCCTCATTGTGGGAGAAAATAGATCTCATTCTGTGCTTAGAGATAAGCACATACCAAACAAAATTACTACACTGTAGTATAGTAGAATATGTCCATTTTATATTCAACACACAGGTATTTGCCACTATTGCAAATGTCCATTTTACTTCTAATATAATAACCTTGAAAGAGTTATTTCAAAAGCCCCCCTGCCCTCTCAGAAGAATAAAATATTTTGGGAAATATTTAAAAAGTAGGATAAAATATTTCCCCTAAAGGAGAAATGAAAAAACATTAAGGGAGGCAGAAACCAGCCCCAGTTTCCCTGCCGCAAGTAGAAACTGAGGAGGCCAGCTTTTAGAAATACAGATTTGGTCATTCATTCAGAAAGACTAAGTCAAGACGGAAACTCAGAAGAGCAACAAACAAGAAGGTTGACAAAAATAGCTCAAACACCTAGGATTTGCATTTTCTCTTTTGCCTGTAGAGCCATCTATGACCCCTACATGACCCCCATAGAAATCCCGAAGGTATAAAAACCCACCCACACTAAACTCCCATTTTGTCAGCTGCCCAGAACCACAAACCCTAAACATTTATCATCAATAAATGGCCCCTCTTTCCAATCAGCTCCCAGCCTCCATTTTATTTCCAGTGCCTTCCTCCCGTCTTGGAACTGAACCAGATGGATTTTCCTTCCAACTCCGGTTTGATGTCACCAGGTTACTCCGTGCAACCCGGTGACTTCTTTTATTTTGCATATTATTATTCAAGTCTCGCTGGACAATTTCTGAAACAGATTTTAAAGACGTATGATATATTTCATATGATGTATACTCATTCTGAGGTGGGTAGCAGACAAATTTAATTAGTAGAAATAAATACATTTGCTTTGTTTGAATACTAAATATCCAGGTTTTGTTCAGTAGCTTGCTTCTTGGTTGAATCCTTTATTTTGATACAGGAGTATTGTGGTCATGTAGGAGGATGGTTTGTGTTTTTACTGTTCTCAGAATCCATAGCGCCTTTAAAATGTGATGCTGGGGGTTTCCTTATAAAAGCAACAGATTAGGTGGTAAGTTCATGTCTGAGCTATACCATTTAAATAGCAGTTGGGCGCATGTTGAATGTTTCTAAACAGCAAAAGAGTGTGAAATACCTGAACACAAAATCTTTTCATTCAATGTCTTATGAAGTAAGTTTCCTCCTGCGGTTTTTTAAAAATGTGTACTAAAAGAACAATTATAGCCACTGCTGCCAGTCCAGTATGTTTGCAGGAAATCCAGTAGATGTAGGAGTAGTGCTGATGGTATTCCTGTTTGTGATCAGGGTCTAAGTGGCATTCTTTGATTTTATGAGAGGTGACCTTGAATCTTCTAAATGCAAAACACTCTCGCAGCTTTGAAGATCCAAGACTGAATTTCTTGGTTGTACTAGCCTGATATTGCATTTCACGGCTTCGCAAAAGCAACATTATCAGCCTATGTTACAAAATGACAGCGTTTAAAAATCCTACCAAACAACTGTGAGAAGAGGTAATGGCAGCGAAAGCATCTGGTGTAATTTTTAATATAGTAAATATCAGTGGATATAATCCATACAAACAGAAAGCTCTTTTGGAGTCCTTCATAATTTTTAAATCTGAGGGGTACTAAGAGAAAAACACTTAAGAAATGTTAGAGCATCTGAACACACAATTTTACTCTTTGAAGACTTCTAGGGAAGCAGAATGCACCACTTCATGGGGTACCCTGTTCCAGTGGCTTGATAGCTGAAGTGGTCAGGGAATTCCTTGTTATGGCGAGCTTATATCTCCTTTCTTGTAATTTTAACCTATTGCTTCTTCTCCTGGAAGAAGTAGGGATAGGCCTCTGGAATAGTAGGGAATAAATCCAATTCTATGTGGATTTGTCTTCAAACAAACCGGTATTCAACTATAGTTTTTTGTAGAATTTAATAAAAATATAAAAGAGTGCCCTCTTAAGAAGCTATTTGTCCATGACTAATTGTGTTATATCAGAAGAGCATGTGCTGTTTTTAGTAATACAAGTTGGTCCGTCATGATATAAAAATACTGGTATTGCCAACTGTGTGAATATGTTTACATGTAGGGCATTTTTGTATATTGAAAGATAAGTTTGATACAAAACAGTTCTGCCTGGAGCTCTTATTTGCACCTGCTTCATAAAAAAGTGTACGTAGTTTACTCTTGTTTTTTCATTTGATACATTTTGCTTCAGTAGCCATTTATTGCTGTATGAAATTGTCTAGTTATTTCCAATAACAATTTTACTTTCATTTTAGCTAAAGCTAAATGGAAGTGTTTATCATTGAAAACATTCCCAGGTATTTTACAGAAAAAACACATTTTAAAGTATTTATTAAGTACTAGCTATTATTACTATTGAGCCCCAAATAAAAATAAAATAAAAATAATAGGAACAGTGTAAATACTGATAACATTATCCCATATAGTTTATGAAATATGTTTTAACTCGCAGTCATCATCCAGTTAAATCATTAGATGCTGTGCTTTAATGTTATAGCCAAATAAGATCTCACTAATTTGTAATAAATAGTTTAATTTTTTTCTGTGTATTAGCTCAACAAGGAAAACTGAATGTAGCTCAGGTATACAAAATATTGTGGCTTCCTATACTCGAAGTTAGGATTATTTTTTAGAAAAAAATGTTAAAAGTTTATTTTAGATTTTGTCTTTTTACCTTTCAGATTGACAAAAAGTGGGTTGAAACAGACTATAAGGAGCACTGTTACAAGTGATTATTATTGAGGTAAGTGATTAAATGTTTTGGTACACACTACTGAACTTCATGCTGAATTGAGAGATTTAGTTTGCCGACCTATCCAGTCCATCACTTCTCAAGATAATTAATAACATTCCTTTATGGCATGAACTTTTGCTAGGACTGCAGTTTCCACTATTTTATTTATATTTTCTTAAGTGAAATGTAAAATGAACTACAAGGCTAAAAATCCACATTTTCTTGTTAGATTTCTGCAGCTCACATAATATATTTGATAAGATCTGTTTGAATAAATGGCAAAACTGGCATAAGTTATAATTTTTGGGGGGATGGGAGGAGGAATAGAGCATCCCCACCTTTGAGTTTCGGTCACAAAGAGCAGAGGTGGGGAACGATGGCCCCTTTATGACTTGTGGACTTCAACTCCCAGAATTCCTGAGCCAGCCATTCTGGGAGTTGGTCCACAAGTCATAAAAAGGCCATCGTTCCCCACCCCTGATGTAGAGGATCATTAGATATGGAGGAAAGATGTCTTTTAAATTTCAACCACTCTTGTGCATTATTTCACGGAAAGGAAAAGCTCTAGTCAGTTTTTAAAAAACGGTTTACTATATAGAGTGGGTTCATTTTAATTGTGATATTTTGATTTGTTACTTTTGGAATAAGGTCAAAGTTATAATCGTATACAGCATATAAAAAACCTATAGTAATCAGTATCCAAAAGATTATTGAATTTGTGCCACAAACCCAAATGAACTTGGTCTCACTTTTGATCAAGCAACAGTTTTCTCAGTTTGAAGCTGAGGCAATAATTCAAGGAATATTTATGAAAATAATATGACTGTTATTGCCCTACTACAGAAATTCCATATGCTTCCAAAGTTTCTGGAATTTAAAACATACCCATAAATAGAAGGACGGTAATTTTAATGCATCTTCCCTTTTTCCTAGGAAATATATTTGTCTTTACTGGGCCATTTTAAAACAAAAATATATGTGTGGAAACAGTACATACATAATTCATGGGTTCAGTAATGAGATAAATACAATAGAGGAAAAAATCTGGTGATTTAATATCATTGATTTTGGGTTTGATCTAACATCCACCCAAATAAACTATTCCAGGTGATTTGGTTCCTTCTGTTTTTATATGGGGCTATGTTGGAAGACTTTCTTGAGGTTGACTTAACCTTCCATCCTTTCCGAGGTTGGTAAAATGAGGAGCCAGACTGTTGGGAACAATATGCTAACTCTGTAAACCGCTTAGAGAGGGCTGGAAAGCACTGTGACAGCGGTATATAAGTCTAAGTGCTATAGCTATTCTACCCTCACAATGGGAGCCATTTTTAGGTGGGTGCTGTAGATGAAATATTTGAATCGCCTGACCTATTTAAAAAATCTGTTTATATGGATACAGTTAATGATATGAATAAATACTGCAGGTTTCTGTAATAAATGTTTGAAAGGTCAATGGTAACACAATAAGCAGAGGAAAGATAAATGGATGTGGGAGTTTTGTTTCACACATTGCTTTGTTTTTATTATATGTGAGAGAGGGAGAAGAGAAGGGCAGTTAACGAAGATTTTCTGTGAATTCTTTTGGCATTAAAATATCACATTCTTATGAGGCAGCTATTGTCAAACATCAGCTTAAGTTGTTTACTGTATTTTTTATTGGAACTCTTTTGTCTGGTTTTCCTTCCCCTAACTTTTAACTTACATCATCATCCCTTGTCCCTAGGCTTGCAATCCAAAAGAGTATTATATAAAATAAAAAAGGGGAAGGGGGAGAAAATAAACCTGTATGGTCCCATAACCACCATCTATAATGGAAATGAGCTGTTTGGGGGTGGAATCAAGTGCCATTAATTTCGACATATGACCATTTGTTCAGTGATCATTCGAAGTTACAACAGCACTGAAAAAAATGCCTTTCGGTTGTTTTTCACCCTTATGACCATTGCAGCATCCCCATGGTCACGTGATTAAAATTTAGGAGTTTGGCAACTGACTCATATTTATGACGATTGCACTGTCCCATGGTCATGTGATCATGTGATGTCGTGTGATGGAACCTTCCCAGCCAGCTTCCGACAAACAAAGTCAATCTGGGGCAACCAGATTCTCTTAATGACTGCATGACTTACTGAACAGCCGCAGTGATTTGCTTAACAACTGTGCCAGAAAAGGGCATACAGTGGGCCAAAACTCACTTAACGACTGCTTTGCTTAACAGTGGAAATTTGGGGTTCAATTGTGATCGTAAGTCAAGGACTACCTGTATTCCTCCCTCTTATTTTGTTCCTAGGACGTTTGTTTCAGAAATCTTCTGTGAGCAGGACATATTGATCCAGGCAGTAAGTCAGCAGTCAAAATGACAATCCTAGCCCCGGGTTAAATTTTGTGTAGTAAATGAAATCTAATTCCGTGTATAACAATTGAGAAATCATAGCGGTGTTAGCTGAGATATTTAACTGGATTTTTCAGAGGCATGTATTGGTAATTAGAGATTTTCGTTTTGGCTTTAAGGATTAAAACCTTCATCCCATCCTTTTACATTGAATTAGAGATAGAAACTGATAGCTTGATCCCCATGAGAGGCTTAATATTGGTGTGGAAAGCATGTTCTTGACATTTTTGTTGGTTATTTAATCACCTCTCTTTCAGCTCTGTAGTCATAAAGGTGAATATAGTAATAAAAGGCTTTATGCTTTAAAATAATTTATGCTAGTTTATCACTAATAAATACCATTAGCATGAAAATATAAGCAAAATGTTCATTTTTATAAGTGGAAAACACTTCTCACTAGATTTTAAATTTTTAACTATCCAAGTCTTACACAAGGTTGCAACATGTAGTAATCGGGATCTTAGTGCATAAGATAGAATGTATTAAGGACTAGGAGAAGATTTATGAAAACTATAGAAAAAATAGGATGATGAAAACTTGTTTGCTTTCCTTATTTAATAACTTTGGGTATCTTATTCCTGGAAGAAACATCCAAATAGAGAAGGGAATATTATATACAGAAAAAATGAAGCTCCTTTAAATGGATTTGTACTTGGCTTTCATAATTCTTCTATCACAAAATGAAACACCATAATTCTTCTATCACTTATAGTGTTGGACAAGTGTTAGGCATTTGGACATGAGTTATCTCTTCTCTTCATCTCTTAATTGGCAAAATCATTTTTATAGTCAGAGAATCAAGGGAGAGCCAAAAATAGCTTCATCCTTATGTAATTCTACTTTAAAATCTCCAAGCCCCCCACACTTGGAAGAAAATATTTGCTAAGTTTTTTTATTTTATTGGAATCATAAAATATTTTATTTAGCAGTGGAAGAACAGTTCTACTAGGATTTAACTCAGATTATTTGAAGAGCCTAATAAAAGGTGCATCTGTTTTGAAATTACATTTCTAATAGGCCATTAGTACTGGGAATTTTACTTATGTTTTTAAAATGACTGCCTTATTAAGTATGGATTCTGCAAAGCCTGAAAGCAATTAGCACCATATTTAAATGTAACACTTCAATTTAAAATATAAAATCAAATATTGCAATTAAAATGTTCTACAGGAATGCAACCTATATATTAACATATTTAACACATGTTTTATTTTTGTCTCTTTGATTAAAACAGCTAGTTATCCATAGATACATTTTTCACAAGGACATTTTCTTCAGGAAAAAAGAAACCACTGCTTATTATAAGGCTCACATTGGTAAATACTTTTTCTAATAAAAATTGGATTTAAGTTTGGATTACACTTAGAAACAAGTTGGAAACCAAAACAGCCTATCTTAATGCAAATTATACATGCTATTAATGATGTGCTCCTTGCAATTCATGATTCTGTTTCATGTTGAATTAATAGAAGGTTTTGGACAGTCTCCCAATGTGACCCCAATTAAAACATGTAATAATTTATTCTTATTGGTTATGAAGTCAGAGGATTCTAAGATTCAGAGATTAGATTCAGAGTCAGAGGATTTGTCAGGATTCTAAGATATTTATCATGGCTTTGTAGAAGTATGTGTCATTAAAATATATATCTGATTGTAGTAGCATCTAAGGCTCTAAGACCTGCCCACCAACCTCCCCCTTCGCACATGAAGTTCAGGCTCATTTAGGGGAAACTCAAGTCATGAATCTTTTCAGTCATCTTGAGAGGAGTGAACCACAATTTATTCACCCTTACCCACTTTTCCTGCAGTACCCCAAATTAAGGGATGACAGGGTTGTAAAAAGGGAACAGAAACAGCAAAGTCTTCAGATCATTAGACTGCCTCTGAAACATGGGGGTGGACGGGATAACATAAATCTCACAGGATTGAACCACAGACTCAACTTTTGACATCTGCCTGTGAAACGGGAACAGAATCATTACAACAAAAGTGTTTCCTGCTCCCAGCCCTACTGTTAGACACAGTATCATAGGCAATAATGTGGGAAGCAGCCGAGATGTTCTAGACCTTCTTGTGTATTTCCTGGCAGCAAGTAATACGTTAAGCCAAACAGGATAGTTTCAGTCTAAAAACAAGCCTGAAGCCGGATTGAACTGGATCCCTTTAATCTGTATCTTCCAAAAAGACTGCAGTGCTTTGTGGCCATCCTCTGCTCAATAGCTTTTGTCTAGGTCTAGGATATCAGAGTATATCTGAGGCAAGGGATCTAAATGTCCTCTCCCCTTGCAAAACTTTTTAGAGTTTTCTCATTCAAGGGATGCAAGTGAAAATCCCTTCTAATGATCCGCTGTTCTGTCTAATACAAGACAACAGCAATGTTATTTTGATCGTTTTGGTCATCTTTGGGGGAACTTAAGATGCCTCTGCCAAGTAAAGACGAGTAGCTTCAACGAAGAAGTTCTTAGTTGTGGGTCCTCAACTTATGGAATGTCCACTCTAGACATGTCCAGCTGCAGGTGATTTTTGGTGCTATGCTAAGACAATCCCTTCTTCCCAGTATTTTTGAATTTGTAGTCTGTTCAGTTGCAAGTGACTATAATATATGACAGTAATGGCC